ACATACACACACACACACACACACACACACACACACACACATATATATATATATATATATATATGTACTTCAAAATTAATGAAAAATGGAATTAAAGTAGGAGTTTATTTTGGTACAGAAAAGAAATTGAAATCCATCTATATTTTTCCTGACGTTCAATTTTTGTGAACTTTCAGAAGACCCTCTCGTATATATTTATTCACACACTTACATGTATGTATATGTATATTAGGGTATTTCCTTAAAACTATGATGAAACTGGTACAGATTACAAGAATCCTTTAATAGGAAAGAAGAGGGAAGGATGAAGATAATTTCTATAATTGGATTATTTTAGTGAAACCTTACCCTCCCAAATAAATTGAAAGTCCAGACATCCACATTGTCCTTGGAACTACTTTCAGTCCCACTCCTCCCCACCTACACTGAATGCGTGCCCACTTTTGTGACAAGCTTGAGTGATCACCAAGGGCAGTTTGTAAAGAGTTTGTAGAGTTTCAGGGAACGACCGTTCAAATGTAGTACAGTACCTTATCATCTCTTATTATTATATGATTTTGGCCTCAAGGCTTGACTATCACTAGATCAGAAGCTCATTTTATTAGTGTATTCAAAAAGATAATTACTCAATATGTGAAAGTTACATAAACTAGTTTAATGTGTAATACAGTTATTTTACAGCACGAATGTAAGCATGACTCCGATTCATATTCCGGAAATAAATGCTAAGCCTGAGTTTTCTACCTATAAGTTTTCCCACTTGATCTAAATGTATAACTTATATGTGTGAGAGATGGTTAGAAAGAAATAAATGAGAATGGTGAATCCCAAGAGTAGTGTGTTCCAGGTAACTGATGGCTTTGAGTTCTTACTGGGCAATTAGCTTTCTGGGCCATGTGTTCTATGAGGGCATGCTTCTGGCTTCCTCAGCACCTAGGACAGTGCCCAGCCCGTAGTGGAAACTAGGTAAAATACTGATGGACTCATTAAAGGTAAATCATATATCAGTGTTTCTAAATCTTAGTGGTAGAACTTACTTCTAATTAAACCCTCACTTTCATCCACTTGATAAATATATGCATGTCTTAGCTCTGAATATATTGCTGAAGGACAGCAAGGTGTTTTTTTAATTGTTCTTGATATAATACTATTAATAGATGTCATCTGGTCAATAGCAGGAAAGCATAGAACTGTCAAAATGTTGGAAGCGAAGCGTGTGCATTAGAGATCTTTGCTAGATGTCACCAGTAATTGTTTTGGCATGAAGGAAAGCAGCAATGAGACAAACCAGGATCACCTTCTAAGACTCAAACTAGATCCTAAATGGCATTAAGTGCACTAAAGCATAGATACATGAAATTGTATTCGAACTACCCTGGGAAGAGTTAATGCTATTTGTAAATGTGATAAATGTCCTCCTTGAACCCAGATTGCTTAAAAACCAATTTGGCACCGAAATTTTCAGGGAGTCACCTTTTATCATCAAATGGCCTTAAAAATAATTTGACCTGCAAACCCAACACTAGGCATGAAAAGAAAGTAAGGTTAGTTTGTGGATTGCTGCCTGCCACTCATCTGGAGAGAGAGCCAAGTAACTGCACAGTCGCTCTGAGACTCCTCATAACATGTCATCTCCTTTTCAATAAGCTGGACCACACTTGGGGCAGAATTCACAGCTGCTGAAGAGTAGTGCTTCTGACTGTGGTCTTCCATGTTATTCCTCATATTAACAGCATCAATTACTTCAGGACTTTGCATGAACTCAATATAGTAATGGACTGTTTTTCAGTTGTTTTGTGTTCTAAATCAGACAGATCAGGCAAAAACATGAGAAAGTTTAAAAAAAAATGCTAGGATGAAGGACAGGTTATCAAATAGTCCAGACATTTTTTTTATTTTTCAGCTTTAGTTTTATCCTCTCTAAATGCTCAGATTGCGGTACCAGCAGTTGGCATAATGGCTATGTCACTGGACAGACCAGCAGTTGGCATAATGGGTATGTTGCTGGACTCCTATGTAGTCGACCGCGGTTCAAGTCCCGGACCTAGTGGCTTAAACTCACGCCAGGTGCGTGTGTGTGAGTGCCCAAGATCCCAAGAGGAGAATGGAGGAGAAGGGATTGCAGCATGGCCATCCCCCCAGGGGTGATTTTTCACTTTCTGTTTCTCTGTCTCTCTCTGTCTTTCTGGTGAGTGCATATGCCTTTATAGCAAAAACCTCTCCGAAAATAAATAAATAAATAAATACTCAGCAAAGAGCTTTTCTTGATAAGAGAAACTTTTAATCTTCCCCCTCAAACTTTATCTGCCAATTGGCCTACCACTTTGTAACTGCTTGGATATAATTTATTTCTTTATATTATTTAGAAATTTGAACTAGGATTTTGAAGTCTGGATTTTATACTCACCCATCCTCCTTAAACATTTCAAAGTGCCAGCTAATGAATAAAATTGGGAGATGCCTAATTATCTTCGAAGTCAGGTCTCTTAGGAAAAATCACATGGAACCAGGTAGTCTTGACCAGAAAGCTGTTTATTTCTCTCCTTTAATGCTCTGCCTAATGAACTTCCCCAAATCTCTTGATCAGATTTCATCTCTTCAGTGTGGGGAAAGGCCAATTGGAATCATCCCACAAGCCCCTGGCAGCAAAAAAAGGAAATGGTGTGTGGAATCTACACAGGTATTCACACACACATGCACATCCACACACGACCGTTTCAACTGTAACTCCTGTGTAATATGGTGTTTGTACACTCCACATTCATAATTTTATTTATTTATTTATTTTGGTCTTAGACAGGCTCTATCTGAGTGACCTGTCCTCTTCCTCTAAGTGACATGGGATCTTTGTCCAAAGTTGGCTTCTCCAGAAAAACTCTGCCACGATACTTGTGTTCCTGACTTGCAGTGATTACGTTAAATACAGACTTACCAGCCCAGCAATCTGTTAATGATCCAAGTTTGATTTTTAAATAGTCTTTAACAATTGCATTTCTAGGGAGGGTTTCTTCCTCCAGTGTGATCTGTTAAATGCTTACTGACTGTTCAGTCTTAGAATTATTCTTTTTTTTTTTTTTTCCATTTTCCTGAGGTTTGAGCTTCTGGGTCTGTCTTCAGTTGTTCCACATCCTGTTTGTCTGAAGTGAACTGCAGTGATAAAAAGGAACATTTTTACACATTGCCCACATCTCATAATGGCCTCCAGCTCGCTGTTCCTTCCTTCACCTCCTTCGCCGTGCAAAAATCATGTGTGTTGTGATGCTTCCTGTGTATTTCTGTATCCATGTGGGTGTACCATCTGGGGGGGGGGCAGAGGTCGGATATTCACTGCCACCATTATAGAGGCTAATCTCCAAAGGAGATTAGTTGCAAGTGGAATATTGTTGTAAGTGGATTCAGAGAAGACATTAAGCCACACTAAAGCTTTCTTCTGACGGGAAGTAAGTCAGAACGGGAAAGGAGGCTGAGGTAGTGAGACTCCAGACTCCACTGGAAACCATCACTCTTCTTCTTCTTGCCCTCCAAGAGCACAGAGACAACTCCCCGCAGGTAGCAACCTATCAGAGTGGTCGGAACTTGGAATGCGTCTCTCTTTGTGGTGTGTATCACATCCCTTTAATATGCAGGAGTCCTCAGTCAGATGTGGGCTGATGGGACCAGATATGCAGCTGATATTTTATATCTGACAGAAATAGTTTAAGGAAACATTGTGTAATCTTTTTTGGTTATAAATAGCATCCTTCTCAATATGCTTATAAAATATCAGAAAATTTTTTTGCTTTTTATTAAAAAAGTAAGATGGGCAAGTATTCGTTTTCTTTACAGAATTATAGTTACCAATGAACAGTTTCCTATCCCTAAACTATTAGGTAGCAACAGTCACCATGGCAACTAAGTTGAGTGCTATAAATGATTTCTTATAACATTATTTTTGGAACTTTACCTGAGAATAGAGGTAGTTTAATTTAACTATTTAAATAGAGAATTTAGAATGTACTTGTGAGTTATAATAGAAGGAGCAAAGAGCATAATATCAGTGGACTAAAATCTGAGACTGTTTTAATATTAGGGAAATGATAAACAATTTTAGATGTTTTTACCTATTAGGATGGGTAAGATGCTATATCACAATGCACATTTTCACAATGTAATTAAAAATTAATGTTATTACATTGAAGTAAGAGATATTAAATTATAACAATAGTTTTAAAAATTGAATAATAATGAGAAGAAAATATTATTATAAACTTAATTTTTAATGTTTCTTCTACAAATCTACAACCTTTTTTATGAGTTATTTCTTGAATAAAGCAATAATAAACATTTTAATAAACAAAGGCTAAATATTTTACTTTTCTGAAGTGTTTGGTTTGCTTTTACAAATATTGAATAGACTGATTTTTTTTCTCATCTGTATTTGTTTGTATATCCGTCTGTCTTTACAAAGTTTATTCTTTATGTTATATGTTACAATTTTTAAAAATACTTTTAGGGAAATTTGGAATTTTTCTGGTCTGTGAAGATATAGCTAACACATAGGGGACAAATAAAAAATTAATCCTTGGACTTCACCCAGTACATTGTTTTTAGCTTGTAATTTACCATGATTCATATGTTGTGAAGATTAATGTATTACATAAGCTTCACATTATTCTATGTCTGAGAGGAACAATGACTATAGAGACAAGTTTAACTAAAAAAGTCTCTCTTTCCTTAGTTTGTGTCCTATAAATACTATTGCTGTTATAAAATGACTGTATTTTAATATTAAAATTTTAGTACTACTTAAATTTTTATTCACTAAATGTTGCTTTTCCTGTGACATGTAATTGCATACAAAGGGATCTCAGAGCATTCCAACACAGTCTAAAAGCCTTCCTTACCTACAGAAATCTTTACATGATGGTCCTCAAAATTAAACCCCCATGTATTTCTCTGTCAATTCACGAGGAATGCTATTAAGCTTCATGGAAAATGTATATTATAAAATAAATACTTCATTGCTAATTGTGCCAGAAGAGACAGAGACTTTTTTTAACCTTCATTAAGAGCCTTAATTCACTGTTCTATAGAACTTGGCCTTTAATAAAGGGAGAAGATAGCACAAAAGACAATACGGTGAATGTATTTGACTCCCCTTCTTGTTCAAAAGTTTAGTTTTTAAAGTTTTATTACATTCTTGAGCAAAAAGTAACATTGTCACCATGTGATTTTTTACTGATTTTTTACAGTTTGCCTGGTACTCAGGTCTGTGTCCAGAACCCCGCCTCTAAGTTCAGGAACACAAGCAGCAGGCGTCAGTTGTTGCTGACTACTTTATTCATTTGCATCAACCAGCTACCTGCACAGTACACAGATGCTTGATGAATTCAAGATAGGACAAAGTCAATGATTTAGTAAAGGTTTTAGTCAGTGGTTAAGGTAAATAGGAGACTTCATTAATTCACTTATTCAACTAGTACTTATTGAGCACCTACTCTGTGCCAGGTTGTGGACTGGTTGTTGTAGCTGTAGCTTTCAGTCTACTAGTAGGTAAGGCAGACGGTGGTCAAACCACCTGCCCAGGACTGTGGAACAGAATACAAAGAGCAGGACTTGAGTAAGTCATTCCTCTGACTCTCAGTTTCCTGACATACTGAGAAGGTACTTTCCTCATAAAGGGTCTCTAGGAGTGTGAGGGAAAGATTCTTTTTTTTTTTTTGGAAAGGTTTTCGCTATAGGGCACGTGTGTTCGCCAGACAGACAGAGACAGAGAGACAGAAAGCGAGAAATCACTCCCCAGGGGGGAAGGTCACACCGCAATCCCTTCTCCTCCATTCTCCTCCCGGGATCTTGGGCACCACACACACGTGCCCGGCGTGAGTTTAAAGCCACCGGGTCTGGGACTCGAACCACGGTCCACTACGTGGGAGTCCAGTGACATAGCCATTACGCTAACTGCTGGTCCCAGGGAAAGATTCTTAAAGCATGTAGCAGGGTACCTGGCACGTGGTAGATACTAGTATGTGGTAGCCTCTCCCCTTCTGTGTCAAGGCCAAGCCCCACCCCAGACCCTTGTTCTCCACAATAGATGCAGATCCTGATAAGGGAGAGAGTGAACAGAGGGAACTGCCAACAGGGAAGGAAACAGAGACATGGAAATTGTTGCCTTAATGCCTGCTTCTATGGAAATGAATTTCCAGCTGGCAGGCGTGTTCTGGGGAGGCATAAGTCTGATCTTCTCACCTCCAATTTCAACTTGCTTTGTCATCCCAGGATAAAATGCAGCAGCCCTAGGAACTGTTGGATTTTAATTCAATCAGCAAACATTTATTTAACATCTGTCATATAAAAGGCAATCACCTGGGAATTGGTGGATGATACGGCCAGGCCCCTCACTGGAATCTACAGGAGAGAATTATCCATCACATAACATTGGTTTTTGATAGATTCACCTAAGACCTTTGTTAGATATATTGCAATACCAGCATGTATTTCTGTTTATTGTAGAAAAAGCTAAGGAAGAAAAAAGAACAAAGTCTATCACATAATACACTGCAAAAGAATGAGCACCTTGTAGGGCTTTGAATATCTGAAGGCGACAGCAGCACTCAGCCCAGGTTCTGCTGTCCGTGAACAAAAACAGCAACATATGATGTGCTGTACCTTCCAGCACTAGATTAGAGAGAGTAAGGCCAGCTATGATTATTGAGTAAAAATACTTTAAAAAGATAAAATGAAAATTTATATTCTTTTTCAATAAAACTTACGTTAAATTTCTATGAACTGTTATGCCTTTATACCTTTTACAAAAATATGCAGTAAAAAAAAAATCGTGCCAGAATTTTTCTTCCAAGGTACCCTAAAACTGACCATTACTTGAAATTTGATGTGGCCGCATGGATGCAAGGCTCCATTCCCACCAGTCAGGTCAAGGATGTGAGGTACAGCCTGCAGCAGGGACGAACTGCCCCCTTGCTGCTTCACATGCAGTAGTTGCACACGGAAAGCCACGCTCACCCCGTGTGTACATCTGCAGAGAGCCACAGGATACTGGATAGAGTGTAGATATAGATATTGTTATCCTGGTCTTAGTATTGGCTAATGGTGATGCCGACCATTGTATCCAGATAGAAAATTAGATTGAAAAGGGTGGTGTGTGAACCAGTCTCAGCAAGCTCCAGTGTGTCCACTAGACTCTTTAGATTGCACCTATGGGTAGTACAGACAACCCCTGACTTACCGTGGGTAGACATGATTTTTCAATCTTATGATGAGTGATCAGGGTATTCAATATAGTTTTGACTTATGGTATTTCATACTTACAGTGGGCTTATCAGGACATAAGCACAGTAAGTCAACTTACCATGGGTTACTTCTAAATCCATCCTAAATCAAAAATATTGTAACTTGAAAATGCATTTAATACCCCAATAAATCCATTGTAAAGTCAAGAAATCATAAGTTAAAGCACTATAAGTTGGGACCATCTATATTAAACCTAAAACCCTGGCATCTTTTGGCTTAGAGCTGTCCTCTAGGGGTGGCATGACGGCTGTCCTCACAGTGAGCAAACTTCACATGGTTGCTGCTCATGAACGAACCTCTTTTCCTTTAGGACTTCAGATGAGGTCCCGCTCTCAAGTTGTCACACATACACCCGCAACAAAGTTAAGTGCTTTTGAAAAATGAATGTATTTCCAATTTCCAGTCCAAGGGAAATATAAAGTAGGAGGGCAGAAAGATGGCTGTCAGTGCACCAATTAGCACATGCAGATAAGATTTTGAAAGTGTAGGGGCCAGCAGGTGGTGTGGTGGTTAGGGTGCTGGACTCCCACATGGGTAACCACAGTTTGAGAACCAGACCTGGCAGCTTGCTTTCTCACTTTTTTTCTCTCTCTCTCTGGTCAAATTTTAAAAAATAGTAGTAATAATTCAAATTAAATTTAAAAATACTTAAAAATGCTTTTTTTTTTTAAAAAAAAGATATCGAAAATGTCTTCCCAATACTTACGTTAAAAAAGTTTGCAAAGGTGTGCACTGTAAATTTCCATGTGGGCGGAGGAAACACAGGGAGCTCTCTCAATGGGCACAGCAGATTTCGGGGGCTCTTTTATTTTATTGTCTTGGGAAAATGGAGTACACCCCTTGGGTATGAATCCTGAAGAGAAGAGAAGCTCAGTTCTGATAAGAATCACTCCTTAGAAACTCACACCTGGAGAAAATGTTTTGTTTTGCAACCAGGCTTTTGCCCAGGGCATTTCTCCTGCACCTCCAGTCCTTTTTCCAATTTCAAACTCAAGTGACTCAAAGAAGCCATCTCTGACCTAGGTCATACTTCCCTTGCTCTTCCTCTTCCCCACCTTAGCACTCATTACCTTCAAGTGTTATTCACTACCCCCTCCCAGAGTCCCAAATTAAATCACTGGGTTGGGGGTATTGGGGCAGAGTGTAGCGTGTTTGTGAACATTGACCATGTGATGGAAGCTCTCAGCCAGTCTCGATACCTCGTCTGAGCTGGGACCGTCACTGGCAGAGATCTCAGTTTCGCTCTTGTATCGCCAGCCCTGGAATTATAGCTAGCCATAGGCATTCAATTATTATTTAATAAATGAAACTAATTTTTAAATCATTAAAATCAGACTTAAATTCCTATGTTTTATTCTATCACTTCCAGTTTTTTTAGTGATTACTAATTACTTTATTTGATTTTTTTCAAAGTATGCTGTCATATCATTGTAAAGGCAACTTTGCTGGTACCATGTAAACTTTCTGGCTCATAGAAACAGCCACTAACAAGCAGTCTCCCCTCTCATGCCTTTTGTGATGGAGTTCTGATGTTTTGTCAGTGCCACTATTTAATTTTTTAGATCTTGAAAGTTTGCTTCACACAAATATAAATACATATTTTCTGATAATATATCAAATATCTGGCATATTGCAAATGCCCAATAAACATAAATTCCTCTTTTGTTCTTCTCATGACATAGCTCATTCAAGTTCTTTGCTTACTGACTTGGTGTTCATGATGTTAACCAGTTTAGAGATTTTGTGTTTGTTTGTTTATTTATTTACCTATTTGTTTTAGTTTTTGCTATCTACAGTTTATGCATGTGTGCTTGTCAGAGTGAGACAGAGAAAGAGAAAGGGAAAGTGAGAAATCACCACTCAGGGTGATGGCCACATCACAATCCCTTCTCCTCTCAAGATTTTGGACACCCATGCACACAGGCCCACTGTTCAGGACTCCAACTGCGGAGTCAGCCATGTGGAATCCCGCACCTTAACTTCCACACCACCTGACAGCCCTTTATTTTTATTATTTTCTTATAAATTACATTTTTAATTTTATCAGTGTCTTAATATTTTTCAGGCTTCAGGGCAAGTTAAGTACTTACTCAGCAAACATTAAATGATTCAGAGTATATATAATGATTTTTTAGAAGTATGTGTATATACAATATAAATATATATATATACATATATATATATATACATGTACACAGAGCTAAATGATAGATGATAGCGAGATAGCAAATTATAAAGCAAATGGGGCAAAATATTAACAGTAAGCAAATTTGGGTCAAGGCTATGAGGACTATGGAAATTATCTTCACTCCTTTTTGTATTTGCAACTTTTTATAAATTTGAAATTATTATCCTAACAAACATAGAAACAAAAAATCTAATTACCCAACTTACGATTCTTTCATGTGCTTTAGTGACCCATAGTGTGTGGTATAAATGCTTTGTATTTAATTAAAACTGCGGATCAGCAGTTGGCATAATGGCTATGTCGCTGGACTCCCATGTAGTCGACCGCAGTTCAAGTTCCTGACCCGGTGGCTTAAACTCACGCCAGACTCATGTACGTGTGTGCCCAGGATCCCAAGAGGAGAATGGAGGAGAAGGGATTGAGGCATGGCCATTCCCCCTGGGAGGTGATTTCTCGCTTTCTGTTTCTCTGTCTCTCTCTGTCTTTCTGGCTAGTACACACACCCTATAGCAAAAACCTCTCAAAAAAAAAAAAAAAAGAATGAATGAATGAAATATTTATGATGACCTTGAAATATAAAATAACAAGTGTTATCAAGGCATCCTCTCCCATAGATTAGTATCTGCATATCTGTGTGTGGTCGTTGGTATTTATATGTATTTTGCTATTTTACGATAATTAACCTGACTCAACACTCAACACTGAGTGCGTCTAGACACAGATTTCAGGGGTCCAGACTTACTTATTAGCATCGCACAAGTCGGGCTTCTGTTAAGTATACTGAAATTGTGCCATGTCACCCACTCTTACAGGGACCAGAAATTCTCTGCATTCTGGTCAGTCAATATGCATTTACTGAATAACTTGCTTAACTTTAGGGATAGAGGAGCTGGCTGGATATTACTTGTGCACTGAGCCTTTTAAAGGTGCTGCCATCATCGTAACTCCATACTTTTCTGAGTTAAATGTTGGTCCTTGCACCCTTGCTGCAGTAACTCCATGTACAACGTTGCACTGAGCACGGCTTTGCAGAGTTGGACTGCATTATGGCCAGCCCTGTCCCAGAAGCCCTTTTTTCCCTTGTCTTTCTCGACCTCCTTGTCTCATGGTTGTCCTCTGGACTTTCTGGGCATCTGTCCTCAGACTGAGAGCTGGTTTCCCCCTCCACTGCCTTCTCAGCAGCTGTGTCCTTCCTGGGCTGATCAGTGTCCTTGTTTATTCTGGGCTTTTCTTTTTCAAAACCACATTTAGTTCTTATATATCTAGTGAACCTGATGAACTCCCCCATGACTTAATATATACTCTTGGCCCAGCCTTCCTGAAAGTTGAGAGATCTGTCGGGGAGTCTCTTCAAGAGAACCTTTCAACTGTGCAGGGCAGGAGTGGGCGATGCAGAGTCAACACTCCCGACAGCACTGTGGCTCATTGTCGCTAAGAGTGACTTTATGATTTTCAGGTGTATGCTGTTTTTGAAAGTTTTGACTACTTATTTTTAAGTCATAGGAAATTTATTTTCATGGCTTCGTTTTGTTGCATGGATCTAGAGGACAGTGTGTTATTATAGTATCTACTCCTTTATAGTTATTGGCCACATTCCTTGGATTTTTCCTGAAGGTGAACACGAAGAAACAAGAGTAATAGATTCTAGATAATATTTTTTTGTCACTTAAGTAATTTCTTAGTTAAAAGAAAGAAAGATTATCTACTGAATAATAATTTAGCACCACTTACCTTCGAATGATTGTGTTGCATTATAGAAGTGTGTGCTACCAGCAAACCAGCTGAAGCAAGTTCCTCCCTGATTGTCAGTGGTTGTAAGTTGAGTGGAAAATGACTTGAGTGGCTAATGGGGGGATGATGTCTGATGTATTCTTTGGGATCTCCTAGAGAAAAACCAACATTGAATGCTATTGCGTACATGGGGTCTCGATGATGAGAGGACAGAAGGTTCTGTACTGTACTGGATGTGAGTTCAGTCATTGCTAGGGCATTCCCATGGTGGTCTCTATTTGGAAATGTCACTGTCAAACTTCCTACAGATATTCACAGTGAAAGAATTGCTATTTCAGTATAAATTTATCCCAAGATATAATGTAAAGCATTAAAAAATGTAACTATTTTCTTCTTACAGTTGAGGTTGAATCCTGAGATAATCTTAGGAAGCTCTGGTCTTGCCCAACTGTCCCCCTGAACACGTCCCCTGGGGTTAGGGGTAGAGTGGATGTGGGCTATCCTGCTGGTATCTCTGCAGCCTGGAGCCTCGGTCACACCCCTCCCTGACAGAAGTCCAAGTCGTCCAGCACCTCTTCTTGCGCTGTGTAAACTCAAGTGTGAGGCAGCCTGCACGAGCTTCCAGGATACTGCCTCTGCATCCCTCTGGCATCACGGAGTCTGGGCTTGGCCACCCTCAGGGCCCTCGGGCTCCTGCATCTGCATGTGAGGCACAGCCTTGCCTATCCCCGCCGGCTTGCACCAGGATTTGTCCTGACCCGGCTGTTTCCCAGGACAGAGGGTCAGGTCATTGTTCTCTCAGGCTGATGTCCTCTCCACTCCCTGACCTCACAGGGAAGACAGCAAGGGCAGAGGTGCGGCTCCCCTTGTCCGCTCTGGAGAGTGCTGCCTGGAGGTCCGAGGGGTTGGAGGCATTTCCTTAAGCTATCATTGGTTTCCTGGTTGGAGTCCTTCAGTTTTGGAACACCCAATAGCCAGCGAATGAAAAGGCAAAACTCTTTTATCGAATTTTCTGCTATAGCAACCCTTTCCCGAAGCAACCCGATCTAGCTGCAGCCCAAGTAGGGAAGAAGACTAGGATTTACAGGAATTAGCAAAGAAAGAGAACATAGGTCTGTATTTCCCAATAACACCCTCCATGACACCATCAGTTTGGCATGGTGATCAGATTAGGGGCTCTCCTATTAAATCTAATTTTGGCATTAGAGTCAACTGCTCTGTGACAGACAAGTACAAAACTGTCAAAAACATGAGCATTGTAATAGCCACTTGATAATGACACTGTGAAGGTAGCACTGGATTGGTTAAGGTATTCCTCTCACCCGATAAGCCGTTAGAGCCCTCAGGCTTTGATGCACATGTTTTAGCTGTCGTTCATCAAGGTAGTTACAGTAATGAAGAACTCTATATTGTTCTATAAAATACATTCTATTTTAAGTCTGTTCAGATGATACCAAATTTTCTACACCATTGATCCATTAAAAAAAAAATCTTTCCTTGAATTCTGCTTGCCAGTAATCAGGCTATTATATTCAGTTTTTTAGATAAGTTGACAAATTGAAAACCCAGCTTTAAATGTTGCAGTAGTTTAAAAATAGAAGTGTTTTTACTTCAAACTATTCTGAGTTGCTGCTTTAAGCAATAAAAATGTGCTTTATAGCTTGTTAACCTAGATCTCATGGATATCCTTTCTACAATAATGTAAGTAGATCATTGTTTACTGTCTAAATCAGCCTTGTCAGAGCAATGCTCTCTAGTGACTTTTTAAAGGCAAAGTAAACTGATCCATTCTGTCTTCTGTGATTATTCAGCCTGGCCTGGTTCTCTTGTATGCTTGTATTTTGAATATGAATAACAGTGTTTAGCTGACTTTAGCATTTTAGAGAAATCTGTATATGTAGCTACTACTTATACCAGCATCAGCCAAATATATTAACTGAGTTTTAGAGTCCGGTTATTTTCTATTTCAGTTGCTCCTAAGACTCTTCAGTATGCACTTACACATTCGATGCCCATTAAATGAGAATATTGGAAGCTACCTTGCTTTGAGGCAACATGGGCACCAGTAGAATTTAGTTACTACATATTTAACATTATCTGTTCAAGGTTAGTGCTTGTTGCAAAAAGCAGAATAAGTCAATAGACAATATGAGGGTGACATGGGATTTAATGATGTGAAATAAAGTGTATCAGACTGATTAGGAAGGTCTGAGTACATCTGGAAAACTGGCATGTATTTTAGAAAGAAATGACCAGTCATTAGATGGCAGGCCAGTTAAATTAGGAGACTGGAATGTATTACCTTGAGAGGCTACTGCCATAAATTGCAGTTTGTTATTGAACACAAAATCCATCTAGTTTTGACACTCGACTGATAGCCACTTACCTTGAGTCCTTACTATCTTTTATTGGTCCTCAGAAAAGAAATGAAGCAAGAGATATTTAAGTGATCAAACGTGTTTTCTCCCATTGCATGTACACATTTTGTCTCTGAGGAACAATGTGAAGCAAGGAAACCATCCTTTCTGGTTCTCCAATCCTGAAATCCTGACCAGTGTATTAATGGATTTCCTACTTTTCCTCCAGATCTTCAAACTGTCCTTTAAAAGGGAAAGAAAGGAGAACAAGTGCAGTGTCCCCCTCTCAGCATGGAGATACTGCAGCTTCTGGCTTCACCATAACAGTCACTGCTTCCTGGCCCTAACCCTGTCTCCAGTTGCAGTCCCACTGCGCTGTTGCTCGGAACCTACCCTCATTGGTTTAGCTTGTGCTTAGAACCTTCTCTGCCCTTCTCAAGGTCGTGCAGATAAGGAAAAACTGTCCCTGCTCCCACAGCCCCCACGTAGAGGCCCAGAGCCATATTCGACCCTGGGTAATAAGGATAGTGCATGCCTCCCTTGGACTTTCCCTCTGGTCTTTATATCATGTAACCTGTAAATTAGCATTGCGGGGGTGGGGGTGGGGGGCCCAAACCAACATGCTGTGTGGAATCTGCCCAGCAAGCAGTACATGCAACAGTGCATGCTTTACTCTTGAGGCTTCATAGCCTCATGACACCTATGAGTGTAAGTCTCTGTGCCTGATGATTTTGATGATGGGAAACAGAGGTGACCTCCAACTAAAAGCAACCCTTGAGGTCTTGTGCCGTGCTAACTCCACTACCAGACATTCCCTTTTTACAAAGCAGCTGTTAGCTCACTGCTGAGCTCTTGACAAAACTGAGTGACCGATGCATGGCAGCGATTCTCTGGCCTGACCCTCACATTCTAGGGTAGATCGACTGAGGCTTAATGAGTAAAAGAGGAAAAGGGCCCAATAGCCCTTGCTTGTCAAATGGACACAGCATGTTCAGGAACACATGACGCTGGCCACACTGCAGTTTACATGAAAAATTAGCAGTTATCACTAGGGGCATACTCATCCCCTACTCTACCACCAGAAGCAAAGCTGGTGGCTCGGTGGAACCCACAGACCACAGAAGTTCCCCATGTCCCTGGCTCACTGGAGACACTCAGCTAAGCTAAGACCCAGGGTGTCCACTGAACTGCTGTAGCTCTGCAACCTCAGCTCTACAAGACAGAACCAAGAATGGGCATGGCTGCTCCTCTCAGTGAACACTCCATTCTCAATTCTCTAGTAAACTGTGTTACATATTTTTTAGGACTCCTAGACTGTAGACTATGGCCTCAGTACTTGGTCTGCCATTTAAAAAACCTGCAGACAGGTAGATAAAATGCACCTTTTAGGAGAAGCAGACTGTGGAAACACATCATGCTGCTGACAGAACCATCTGGGAGACACATGTCGATACACACAGTATGTCCTGTACTCTGATGAGATGGCCTGGGACCAAGCAAGTTTGTTATAGTGGTCAAGTCCACTGTCACAGAGTGGACACAAGGTAGAGAGCTCTGCTATGACACAGAGCTATGACTCCATCCCAGACTTGGGCCTTTGTATCTCGGGGGCCATGTTCCACTGGGTATTGACTTTCTCTGTTCCTGGAAGACTGACCATGTTGGACCTTTGACCCCACATGGGACCGTTCCAGGTTACAGTGGTACTGTACCAGTGTGGTTAGCTGGCTGCTGCTACACCGCTGTGCTAATTGTTCAGATGTTTGCTCAACCTTTGCAGTCTGACAATGGTACACCTCTTACTACAGAGATCATCCAGAAATGTGCTAATGCCATGCTGTCTGCCAGCCACAGGCATTAGGTGCTGTGGAAGACTGGAGCAGCCTTCTGAAAAACTAACAAAATAATTCCAACTTTTGTCTCCTCCTGGTCACACACTTTAGTAAGACTCTTTGGTCACTGTCTGTGGCTGTCCCCAGAGAGGGATCATCATCTCTTAGCCACTTCTTTGGCACTGATCAGATTGAAGGGAGGAGGAATCACACAGGCCTATTTTGAAAATCAGATTATCCATCTTGATCATTCCTGGACATGATGCTTTTTTCTATATCCTAATAGTTCCTCAGGCCTGCCTGGTTGGTACACATTGTGAAGACATGGCAAATTCAGATCTAACTCTGACTCACCCACCTCGTTCTGTTGCCTGCTTGCTGTGAACTGAGAGGATGAGGACAGTAACCACTGGTAAGAGTTCTGCCCACTTTACAGTAAGCAGCTCAATTCTGGTATGCCTCATCAGAGAACAGGCCAAAGGGGTGTCACTTCACACCTGACCTTCCAGATAGAAAATCCCTGGACTGAATGAATAGGGGCCATTGGGAGCAAAGCAAAGTTATAGCCACTGACACAGGGCACGTCAATTTTGTGTTGGTGGAGAAAGAACTACCACCTTCGCCGTTGGTAGGGGAGTACAGGCCGTTAATGACCTCTGTCCTTTACCATCACTTCTGGTGTCTGTTTTCCTCAAGAGGAAAGACGACTTGTGCAGCTCACTCAAACTATAAAAAGCACTTACATTTGACTGCTGAGTCAGCCATCGAGTGTCAGACAGCTCTGACCATGACTGGACTGTCCTTCAGTTCTGGAAAAATCTATTGGAAACAGAACGGAACATCCCCAGCTCAGCTGGTACTGTGGACAAACAGGGCAGGTGGGCTGTCAGTTCTCAATCAATCCCTCCAAATCCTAGGACCTCGCTTGGCTGGAAAAAAAAAAAAAAACAAAACACAACAACACACCGGAAATCTTTTACCAGTTGGTCAAGAGGACTCATCACAGGCACTGTCAAAGTCCCCTTCCCAAGTCAAATAAGTTCTAGCAACTTAGTGCACCCAACCTGGGGGTACCAACAGTTGTATGTAGCACTTTGTTTTCAGAGACACCATGCTTTCCCCATGCCAGTAGTACTAATGTTAGAGTCAGGCAATAAGGATTTTTGTTTGTTTGTTTCCTTTCTACAAACTTGCTTTCCTTTCCCTTCTTCTACCATGTGGGTGCTCATAAGATTTGAAGTAAATACCAACTATAAATTATGTACTCCCCAGAGACTATGGAAAGCTCCTTGAATGGAGCTGGTGTGGGTGACCCTCATGGAGGTTATCCACATGATGGGAATTATCTACTTAGTGAAATAATATGAAATTGTCCCAGATTTTGCTGAAGTGATCAATGGCATTGCCTAGAAGACAATTAGGTCAGCCCCAGCTCACTGTCCAGGGTCATTATGATGACAGAGTTGCCCTGGACTTACTCTTAGTGTGTATGATCAGTCACCAATTCAATCATTAATACCTTGGGACAAGTAGAAATGAGAGTTATTGGCAGCAGCATAGATACAGAAT